AGTGTATTTTCCATATATTTTGATAAAACAACTATGATGGATTCCTACTTACTGGATGACACAGTGCCGCAGACACAATTTACATGTAGTATTCTGCATTATGAAATAAATAACATTTTTTTAAAACAAACTATTAATTAATCAAAGCTTAAGGAAATGTAATGAGACCTTACTGTATATTGGAAAGAAAAACACAAGTCTAGAGAGAGAGGCACTACAGTATAAAAACATATTTATAAACATATATTATTAAGCAATATTTTGAAACTCTGCAACTAAGTGCTGAAACAAATAAGGCTGTGGTTTTGAAAAATGCAGCACTGCTGTCTATGCATTAAATAGAATACTTGTACAGTATTTAATTGCTTATCAAATGGCCTTATCCACCACAAAATAATTCTAAATTATAGAATAATACATAAATACAAACAGGTGTCATTCTAATACAATAAAAACAGAGTAAAAATACATGACATCTAAAGATTTAAAGCACCAGAAATATTTTGTGTTAGTCTGACTTCTGTGGTATAAATGTTTTGTTTTGGACTAACCTCTTGTGAGAAGCATATACAGTATATGTGTATATATATGCTATATGTGTTACGTAGAAGAATATAATAATAATAATATTAATAATTGCTTACACTTATATAGTGCTTTTCTGGACACTCCACTCAAAGGGCTTTACAGGTAATGGGGACTCCCCTCCACCACCACTAATGTGCAGCCCCACCTGGATGATGCAACGACAGCCATAGTGCGCCAGAATGCTCACCACACATCAGCTATCAGTGGGGAGGAGAGCAGCGTAATGAAGCCTACTCATAGAGTTAGAACAATGTTGAGAACGATGTTGGAGCTGCAGTCCAGCTTTAAGAGGTATCACATTATTTCTATCCTTGTCAAAGTTTCTGTCTCTTGAATAGCCCCAATTTAATTTTAATATGGCCAAAAGACTTGTTTCTATATACGCATACAAGAGCAGTCTGCCTAAAACAGTCATTGTCAGGGTCTCTAAATGATAAGAAAATAGTCAATTGTTATTGCTTGGAATAAATTTAAATGAACTGTTTTAATACTACTTCACTTTCCCAAAAATCTATTGTATTGTATACTTACAGTGTACCGCTTGTGGAACATAAGGAGTAGTAAACCAGATCATCTGGTATATGAATGCTGCCAACACACAAAACAAAGCTAGGCTTAGAAAGGTCTGTGCAAAGCTAAATGTTACAAAAGTATACATTTCCAATTATATAGGTTACAAGTGTGTCAAAAATGTAGTTTCCTACAGTATGGTTTCTAAAAAAATAACTCCTAAAGGAAAAAGCTGAAACTGTCAGTGCTGTAAAATTCTAAAATTATTCCTACAGAAATCCACAGCAATTAGGCATCAAATACATTTTATTTAGGTAAGACCCTCACAGAAAGAGATGGAAATGCAGAAGCCTATTAAACATCTATATTAATGGTCAGCTTATATACAGATTCAACTCTGTATCATGTGAAACAAAGGAACAAAACAAAACTGCATATTTTCTTCTGGTTGGCTTCATTGTATAATACTAATATATCTTGCAAAGCTTTGACACTGAATCTGTAGCAACACCCAATACTCCACTCCACCTCTATCTTTTATTGTTAGCTCAAAATTAATGTAGCAAATCCTCTCCTGGGATTTAATTACTTAAAGTTATTATATTAATAATGTGAATATATGAATTTCCACAGCATATTTACTGTATGTGGAGATCTGTGTTGTGCTTAGCACAATGTGAAAAGCAGATTTTGGCTATATGTAAGTTACATGATTTGCACAATGTGTGTGGTAATTGCGTGAATTTCTGATTAAAAGGTGTCAAAACTCCTTTCAAGACAGGGGGCCCACAAATCACCTGACAAGGACCTGACTGGTATCCGTAGTTTAAAATGCTGTTGAAATGTTACATAATTAATGCTGATGATTAATAATCATATTCTTAGTATTGTAGCCACTGATGATAGTCATCTATGACATTCTCCAAAGGCTGAGGAACTCATATTCAAATTTTCAACAGGGTACGTCTGCCAGTTTATTTCCACATCTAAAATAAAAAATATAATTATTTATATAATATACTGCATGTAATACAGTATATTATAATTATTAAATATACAAAATTCTATTGCAGGACAACAGATCATAGATTAACATAATTTCCATAAAAAAGAATAAATGTATCTTTGTATAACTTTGTATTAATAAAAGATTAATGAAAGTCTTAATATTGGGCTAAAACGTTTATGTTATCTGCCGAGACCACAGAGAATATCTCCGAGGCCCCAGATCCCAGCTTGAGAACCACTACTTCAATTCTGATATCATCAACATTTCTGGCTATCTGCTATTATGTATGAAAAAAGTAATAATGTATATAATGTATAATAAATCCTTCATTAATATAGTGTTAACCAGTGAATTCTGTAATAATTTGGCAAATTCATTTAAAACGCAATAAGACAGGATGAGACAATGCATCAGGAATATCTTGCAGTGAATTAAATAATTGGTTGCACAAACCAATATCTGTTTTGTGATTGCCAATGGCACAAAGAGAGAATAAGACAGCTTCTGATAAGAAAAACTGCTGTATGTGAGTTTTTTTTTAAAGCTACTATAACAGAAAACTGTCACGCTACTGTAAAATTGGTTTGAAGAAGAAGCTCAGAAACATTGGGATGGAGAATCTGAAAACAGATCATAACAAATATACTGAAACTAACAGGTAAAACTAATGATAAAGACTAGACTGGATCTGCAATATTGTTTGTGGCATATTTCAAGCAGTACAGTGGAGGATTTGATTGATGAATGCTTTTGAAGACAAATTAAAATTAACCACAACACCTCAGGCAGGGTGCAGCTTCACCATCACAGCCCCAGCCGTAAGAGCACTCTGAAGAGTGAGCGCACCTGGGTTCATCGAGTGCAGTGGAGGGTGGGGTGAGAGCTCATTGTCATTTTATAAAGCATGAACGGCCCAGGACAGCATGGTGGTGCTGTGTTTATCATGGCTGCCTTGCGGCCCGGGTTCAGTTCCGGGTTTGGGGTGCTATCCGTTTGGAGTTGGTATGTCTTTCCCATGTTTTTGTGGGTTTCCACCGGAAGCTCTGGAAAAATTGGCCCTAGTACTGAGTGTGTGTCTGTGTGTCTGCCTTGCAACAGACTGGCCTCCTTTCCTTATACTGTACACATCGTTCGCCAAGATAGGCTTCGGCTCCTCTCATCTCCTGCATTGAAATAAACTAAATTAGAAAATTGAACAAAATTGAAGCCCTCCAATCTATTAAGTATCTTGGTTTTAATTCTGAGAAGAACCCCAATACAAAAGAAAAAATATTACATTGACAGGGGCAAGGAAGAATGTAGTTTCTTCGGCAAACATACAACAATGTACTGGACTAGTCCATACATTCCCAGACCTCAGATCTTCAAATGTGAAAATCTTTTTTAAACAGAAGATGTTTTCTTTAAAAGTGCATCAGTTTCCAAATACAACTTGTGGTGTTTATTAATTAACCTCCACGTTAAATTAATAGGCATTTGACTTGGATTTACAAAATACAAACTGACCACAAAGCTGATAATATACAGTAGCATAAAACCTGTATGTGACCAAGTTCCTTTTTTTAGATAAAAAAACTGGCAATTGATTCATAAGGACTATGCACTGTCGACAAGGTGGTAGGTGGTTAATTTAAGAATGTGAACAGGAAACTGTTGAGGGTCTTGAACAAGATACGCAAATCATATTGTTCAAACTGATTCCATCAAAGCTTTCAAGGAATGTGGAAAAAGTGGCTATAAAAATGTCCTTAGCTGGTGTAATGTCAGTTATTATGCATCCTTAAAGCAAATAGTGCTCATCCAGCAGCTACCATAGTGCCAGTTCACTTCAAGATGGTACTGATTTTGATTTTTGTCTCTCAAACCACTGCAAAACTATCGGCACTACTGACATGCAGCATGCCAAAGATAGTCCAATCAACGCATCTTATTTTAATCAAGCTCTGCCACGTGATCTACAGTATGCAGTCATAGTCAGCTCGTGACACAGCTCAGTCGAACTGGAGATGTCCAAAAATGTTGGGCGTTACCTGAACTCCAAAGAAAGGACTTTATGATTTGATCTATTAATAACCTCCAGGAGAAACACACAAGTGTAAATCAGAAATTTGTTTCTAATTCTAATGTAATGCCCCCAAGTAAGAATAGACTATTTTATTGTGCTTTCACAATTTCTAAGCACCCTTATCAATATGACAACAAACTATAATCAACAAAGCCCTACTGATATTTTCATCACCACCTTCCAAGACGGAAGCTGGTTTGGTTAATGGCTTTTGTTATTTTGATGGTACAATAATTTCTGGAACAGTCATTATTCAATATAGCAAGTTCATTCCCGCTGGGAGAGCATTAGGAAATGTAGTGTAGCGTGACTTGCTAAGCTTTGCTACTAAGCAATTGATACCATGCTGCTTATTTAGTGTATGCAATTGAAAAATCCAGAGAAATTATTATAGATACAACTAGGCAAGGAGTTCAGAGCTAATTCAGTATATTTTATATGAAGCTATTTAATAAACTCATATTGCTAAGTGCTTGTACAGTATAAAGCAAACTGTGACAGCATGCATCAAGAGTGAAGGCTACAATGTTGTTTCATCTTTATTTCGTTTTCAGCAATACTCTAAAAATCACATTTTTATGCAATATTAATTGGCGTTTGCTTTATAGAACATGCATTTCATTATGAAAGTGAAAAAGAGTTTCAAATTTGGTACTCTAATACTCCAAAGTATTGCTGAAACAAAGGAAGGTTCAATATTCTTGAAAATCTATTTTTATCTTATCAAATTTATTTAGTTTCTATTGTTTTTATTTATAGAACTAAGAAAAGGATTACTGAGCATGCATTTCTTTTATTACAGTTACCAAAGTCACTACACAAACTTACCAAAGCCGGACTTCACTTCCCTCCTTAGTCCACACAGCATGACTGCTATTGTCTGTCAAATCATTCAGCTAACTGCAGCAGCAGACCTCTCTTGTACAGCAGGCCTTTGGTGCAATGCCCCAGCGCCAGGCAGCTTGAATCTGCAGACTTTTCTCTCCTCACAAATGCTTCATACGGAAATCCGTAACCAGCAGAGAGCAAAGATTCTTCCTGATCCCTCCTCATGAATCAAAGAGCAGCGAAGGTCTTTTCTTCTTCAAACAGAGCTGACAGAGTCTCTTGACAAAAGAAATTCACCTTGTAAAACTTAAATACTTTAGGTTCTCACAGAAAATTGTAGTTTGTACCATCTTGTAAGCTGCTAAGACCCCAGCATGTCAGTTCCAAGCTCTTTCTTCTTGTACTATAGAGTGTTTTAAATCATGCAAACTATACTGATTTGATAAAATCTCTATCATCACACATAATTATATGTTCAGACTTCTAGTCCTCTTCAATATCACAAAGTTGTATTCATTTATGCCTCTGAGAAAACTGCAGACTCTACATGCCTTTGAAGACCAAAAACATACAATAAAACGGGTATTTCTAGGTACAAACCTTGAAGTTCTTTTTCAGAGCCAACATTATTAAAACGTCTTAAATGACAAAGATACAAAACATGCAGAATCCCCCTTTGGCTCAGACTTCTTTGGGTGCACATAAAAAGCAAAACACAAGTGTCTCTCTCTTTCTCCCTGTGGCCCCCTTTTAAGTTATTGTCAATCTTCCTTCCATTCCATGGCATTAAATCACCCCGCATGCAGTTACACACATTCACTCACTGCAGGGGGAGGTTATTGAAGCAAACCCACAGCCCTCAATCTTTTCACAGAACTACTCGGAGTAGCCCTGCCCACAACATCTGCTTAGGACTGCCCCCATCTCTCACTAGACATCACAAGCCTAGAAGCATGTAAATGTATTGTCTCGACCGACTATTTTTGCATTCAGCTGTATCAGAATTTGTGGATGTTTAAAAGCGAATTAATAAATAAATTGACAAGGAAAAAGCCTTGGAAGAAAAAAAAATAGATTTAGGATTATTTTTCTGGCAGGACTATCGCCCCTTCACAGACTAAAAGCACCTAAAAGCTCATTGAGCATTTGTAAAGCGAAGTCTTCTATTAGCCAAAGCACAAACAAAGCTAGGTTAGAGAGAGTAGTTGTGGAGTTAAATTGTGAGACCTGCAAAAGACAGCTTAAAAACTGTGCAATGGTTATACTGGTTACAAACTGCAGCTAAGGTGGAACACAAGCTTTGTCAAAAGATACTGTAACCATTACCAAGCAATGAAAAAAATTATATATTACTGGACATATACAGTACAGTAGCAGTATGATTCACATTTTGCAGTTGAAGAGCTAGAAAATTAGCAAAAACATGTATGCACATTAAAGCAAAAGAAATTAAATGCATGGTTGCAAATCTGCAAAGGCACACAAATATTTTCTCGGACCCACTCTTCCAGATTAAAAAAAAGTGTTGAAGAAAATTTGGGCAAGACTAGCAAGGTCTAAGCATGGGATTTTAAAGGAAGGTGAATTAATTCAAACAATCTTTACCAAAGATTCTATTTGTCTCTCAACTACCACTGTACTGTAATAATACATCTATGAATACTCTATTAATATTAATATAAGAACACTATTTGTAAATTAACATTTTACAGCAGAGTAAATACAGTGTATATAACAATATAAAAAGGGTATTTTTATAAATTAACATTATAAGAGACGAGCCAAGACAAACATAAAAATCACTATGAAACTGCAAAACAGTAATTCAGTTGTAAACACATTTTTTATTTTAGGAATAATTTCGCTTCACAAGAGCTACAACTGCATAAAACATAGCAATAAACAGAAGCTTTTGCATTGGTTAAAAGGTTTAGTAACCTATGTTAACTCAAGAAATAGGTTAAATCCATGCTGAAAAGAGAAGAGAGAAAACATAACTTTTCGGCTGTGAAGCCTTCTTCAGGTGTGTAAACTCAATGCTACTGTATATACTGTACAGTAGCACTATATAGCACCACTTGGCTCCCACTGATGTTTTTCATACTGATTAATATATAACTATAAAGACCATGTTAACAAATACGTTAATGCTTACTCATCATTTCGACATTTTAATTAATAATAATAATTGTTTACGCTTATATAGCGCTTTTCTGGACACTCCACTCAAGGCGCTTTACAGGTAATGGGGACTCCCCTCCACCACCACCAATGTGCAGCCCCACCTGGACAAATACTAAAATGTTAGTATTTGTGAGGCTCTTAAATGTGCTTGATTTTTATATAATGTTACTACATAATACTGTATAACTTCAAATGTCTTATACTATGATATTATTTTAAAACAAAAAGCCTAACAGAATTTTAAGATCTTGTTAATACAACAGTTCAAGGGCTGAAATGCTGTTATTCACCAGCTAACTGCACTACCCTGTTGTGTGGTTTTCTAAAGCGTACAAAAAATTATCTGAAAAGGAAAATCAATTAGCCTTGCTTTTGTTTAAAACAAAATCTGTCAACAAGCCATTATCCAAAACATGATTTATACTGGTTATTTATTTTTAGGTTTTCTAAAATTAGACTGCAATGCTGTAAGCATGCTTTCAAATTTAGTCTCTTTATAATACCAAACAGTCTGAAACAAAAGAGATAAAAGCTTTATTATCCTAAACTTAAGTCATAAAGAAGAAAACATATTATCACTAAGGCATATTTCTTCTTGATTATACAACATGGCATAGAAATTGCCTCAAGCTTCACTTAATCTACTGTAAGAAATCTTCAATGTTAGCCATTTTAGCACACACAACTGTGAAGTGCTCCTTTTCGTTAAAGTTAGATGCTTTTATTCAGCTCCCAAATCTGGGCCCCTTCTAAAACAGCACTGAGGGAATACAGAGTTACTAGCTACTGTACATGGATGTCCCACCTGTCTATCCATTCATCATAAGAAAATACCACAGCACCCAGACTCTCCCTTCAATCCCACCACTGTATCCCTTTTATACTTCCATTTTGTTTTCCTCTAGTTCTTGAACACGACCAAAAAGGAACACGCTACACTAAACAAATATGTGGTGTTATTATTAATTTGGCTGAATGTAACAACTACAAGTGAGAAAATGTTTAGGAATCACTGTTTTTATTCAGATGTACAGTATATATGTAGATATTGACAGAGCAATAATCCCCCTCCCCACTCCCAAGAAGCAAAACAGCTCACATTTACAACAGTGATTCAAAATCAGTGGTATAAACATTCAACATTCTGAATTATTATCCTATAGAAGTAAATCAAGCATAAGGTTACTTTAATCAAAACTAATGCTTCTCTGTGTGCTCCATTTTGTGCCATGTGTTTTTTTAACTTCAATATCAAGCAGAATTATGTACATGTTGCACTTTCTTCCACTCTCTATTGATGCAATATATAGTATACAGTTTACTGAACACACATACTGTATACAGTATACTATATTCAAGCAAGTGGCTATACATGGGAACCCTAAGTTACAGTTGCCAACAAACACCGCCTCAAACCACAATATACACTTTCACATCGCAATGCACAAGACAGAGAGAACATACAAACTCCACACAGATACTCTAGCACCCCAGTTCTGGAACTGAACCCAGGGCCCCAGCGTTGTGAGACAGCAATGTTAACCACTGGGTCACTGTCCCACTCCCAAAAAACACCATTAAGCACTTTGCAAGGTGATAGTAGAACCAAAATTCTTTTAATTTAAAGATGTGCGGTAATTCGGTTGTCTGAAAAACAATTGCCTTGTGAGGACCACCGTGCCTGTTTCTCAGGCCTTAAATAGTGACCATCTTAGTGAGAACATTGTTTTTAATGTGGGCATCATAAGTACAGTATAGCAATAACATGCAGAAACACACAGTACTGTATGTGCCAGCATGCCCCCTGTTATTCAGTTATCAGTGGATAGTTGGTTGGAGCTTCATTAGGACTTCCACCCTAGTAAAAACTAAAGCTTGATTTCTACAAGACAAGGACTGTATTTAATTCAGTGAGGATTCTAATATGAAATCTGGTGGCTACTTTATAGGGTTGCAAAAATGTCATAATGGCAAGGTGATCTGTAGACTGTCAGGATGAATTATCTTCAAAAATCACCAATAAGTGGGAAGAGATAACTAGATATATAACTGCCTGTGAGGAACCTCAGCTCACTTTATTAGGAAAGAGGGAGTTCTGGTTCTTGGATCATAAACCACCTCTGCACAAGACACTTGGCTAGTAAATTGCACTATAAAAGATCGGGTCTTACCTGTACACTGTATATCAACATTTATCAGGGTCTCAGGTGTCATTTGATGATACGTGAGCATCCATATCCAGTATATTAAAGGTCAAGTTGTAAAAAAGTTTTTACAAGCAGCTTTCTTTCTCCATGGAGCACAACTCCATTATAAACTGGAATAATTGCCCCATGTCTGCATTTTTCTTCAGATTAATTTGTACATTTTAATTTTCAGTCTCATTAAATGATGTCTGTTTCCATACCCTTTTTTTTTTACATACAGTAACTGAAAAGTTTTAAAATATATTCTGTAACAGGGTTGAAGAATTAAATTAAATGCAAATCAGCTACTTAAACAAGGATAAACATATCTATCTGTTCATGAATATTTTAGTTAAGCTCTTTTCAAACATCCCTAGCAACCATCACTATCACTAGCTAAGCAGCATTCAATTTCAATTTAAATTGCTTATTTCTAACATTAAAGCATCAAGAAAAATTCAAAGGCTTTTTTGGGCTCATTCACTTCTTTCAGAAGAAGAAGCTTTGTCAAAACAGTAGACTGTATCCAAAAATATAGTACAAAAGACATTATATGGTAATCGGATGATAACACAATCTACCACACCATGAAAGAAAGTCAACACAAAGACAACACCATTCAAATATTATCTCAATACTGTAGGGACACAACTTTCTGCTGCATTGTCTGTATTTCTTCCAGGAAAACATTCCCAGGTTAAGGATTTCAATAATGATATAATGGAAAGAATACATCTGACAAATTATTATTAAATGCCTCTGAAAATCATACATTTAATAACAAAAAAGAAAGGTTTCTCCAAAATGATATAAAACAGTGACTTACTAAGCCTCAGCTTTGAAATTAACCATGAAAACAACTCCTAAAGTAGACCTAGTAGAATAGACTGAATTTATGTACTGAATTACTCCGTTTACGGTAGAACTATAAGCCTATTAAAATCATACAATGACAGAAGAAAGGTTACAGACTAGCTGGCACAAAATCATGTGTTTGGTTGTCAGTAGCTTTTCAATCCAAGAAACTCATCCATCTGTTTGTAAAAACACTGCTGGCCATCAGTTGTACAGTTAATACATAGCTAATTGGTCTGTCCCAGATCTCCACAACTCTTTATGGAGTTTTTATGGACCAATTTTCACGTCTAAAGCTCAGCCTTATTGCTGATACTGAAATAGTCATTGGTTCAATTCCTGAGTTCCCTTCCTCTATTCTGGAATACAGTATGTGAATCAAACCTCAATGTCGTGCTGTATTGTATGTTAAAAAAATAATAAGATTTACTTATGTATATGTATAACATTACTTTTGAGTGTTACGCTACTACTCAAGCTAAAACAGCACTGAAAGAAATTTAATAAGATTGCACTGTCAGATGAATGCAACACTTACATAAAACATTTCTCCTCACCTTTAACTATGGGGCCAATAAACAGCACATTCAACC